TCGTTAGATGTTTCGTTTTTCAAATCCATGCTCTTCACACTAAACATTTTTCGCAGCATTTAATAAAAGATTCAAAAACATGAAAGACACCAATATATGGCATTGTCTTTAGCACCGCATGCGGGGTGTTTTTCATTTCTTAATCTTAAAACCCTCATCCCCATTATTCAAAATATTGAGAACGTCCAGAATATCACTAAAACTGGACTATTGCAAGGTATTTAAATGTTGATCTATTGATTTCGGCCAGCGCTTTAGTCCCAGTCTAGCAACGTGCAGTCAGCCAGTTATCTGGAGCAAAAGCCTTGCTTTTCTGAGCGAACCCACTCTTTTTTTCTTCATGGCCTCACACAGATGGTTTCAAGACGTCACTGTTCATTAACAGTACAAGTGTGTGCAATGTTAACATCCGTAACCACAGTGAAAATCTTGCCGAAACGATCTTTATCTATTATTTGCGTGTTATCCTCTTGAAATGAGTTTATTATGAAAATGCTTAAGCAAGTCTAAATGCTTTACTGTCACATGATTATGAAGACACATTACCAAGATTTCCTTACGGCTATTTCCAAGTTTAACACAAATTTCCATCACAACTCCTTCGTATATTTATACAGATGTCTTTCTCAGCAACTACAATTTAATTTATTAGACACTTTCAGTTACTGTCCATAAATACAGAAAACAACGGCTGTCAAATTGCAGGCTGAAGCATGTCGACGTGGAGCACTCACAAAACAAACTAGTACTATCGTGACGAAATTCTACACCGCCTTGTGCATCCTTTTATCGCTGCAATGGGTATCGAAGCGATATTTATGGATGATAACGCCCGCCCGTATAAAGCTCGAGTGCCACAGAGTTACCTGGAGAGTGAAACTATTCCACACCTGCCGTGATCTGCTATATCACAGTACCTGAATCTCATAAGTTTGTGTGTGAAATGCTGGGACGACAAATAGCTGGTCGCAGTATGCCGCCAGGTACCATCCTTGAACTCCGACATACATTACTACAAGAACGGGGGCTACTGACCACAGCAGACGATCAACGACACTATTGTCAGCTTGCGTTGCCATTCTCAACCCTCTAGGATGCATTTTAGCTGCAAGGTATCCTACCTGTTAGTAGCTGATGTTATAAGGCATTTCCCCCGCCTTCTTAGCATGTCTTCGGGGTGTAATGGTCGGCTTCTTCCGACACTTTGTTCTTTCCCGATGTGATGGTCGTAATACATTTTGTATTTGCATGTCTTTGCTTTATTGTTTTCTATATGGTCTAGTAATGCCACACCATTTGCTTGGATCAATTTCACGCATGTTTCTAGCTACTTTTTCTATGCTGAACAACTATGTAGAGACTTATCTCCGAGTGCAGGTGTGTAAATGATAAATTCCAGAGATCAGTTAAAAGACCCTTTTATTCACTCATAGAAATAATGACAGTCGGCCCTTCCTCGAGCTTACAGGAAAGTCTCCACTTAGGCTTTAAATTAAAACAGAAAATAAGAAACTAATCTAGTATTAAACTAAACTGACTTAACCGAAGCTATACCAATTACCTAACATAGTTGGCCCTTGACTAAATTACCGGAGAACATCAGTAGGCACGTACCATACGGCCAAGCGTAGAGAATTTAACAACAAAATAACCTAACGGCAAACACGCCCCACTAAGGACTCCTAAGTTTTTCTGCTAACTTCCTTTATATACTCTTTCTACCTCATTACATGCAACGCGATAGTAAAAATACTAAAAACTCATTCTGGTAGGGAGTTGTAAGCGGAAAACAAGAATTTAAAGGAAAGGCTTTCAAAACTAAAAATGACTGTTATAAAATTAAAATAACCCTTACATCTTAAATTTATTTTATTTTACGCTTTGCCTTCGTTGTTTATTTTTTGAGAATGTCTTTATTTCTTTATAACGTTCTGGTCCTCGAGTGGGTGTAAACCCAGGATTTCTGTCCTATTCCCACAGGAAGTTGACCACTGAACTCTAGAAATTGACAGCCATATTTGAATAATTCTAAATATATAGTTGATATCCAGATATTTCTCTTCTCAGCGTTACTGAAGACAGATAATGATGAGAAAAACCTCATACTCGATTTTTTTTTCGGGGGGGGGGACAGCCAATGGCGGGCACTTGCCTATAACGGCAATGGCCATTCCTAAAGCCAGAAGTGGTAGCCATTTTATTCTGGAGTCACCTATTGTGGAGGCATTGGCGGCCACCGTTACCTCCTGTAAAGGGACAGACAATTTTACATCCATGCCTTCTCCGGGATTCGAACCCGCGCCCTTCGGTATCGCAGTCAGGCTTCCCTAACCATCTAAATATATTAAAAGTTTCTTTTGTTTTGTTTCATTTTATGATATAGTTTAATAAAACAATATAATAAGACAGAAAGGAAAAATTGCTGATATATATAATTCCAGAAGTATGATCCTAAATACATAAATATGATAGTTCCATAAAGTAAAGTATGGGATATTAGAAATATACTTTATTGCTATTTACCATTATAATGCTTTATAAAATTATTGAAAATGGTTATGAAAATTATCGGACGGACATATTAAAAATTAAATATATTCTAAATTAGCAAGTTTTCAAACTAACTGGGTAAATACATAATAATTTAAAAGATAAATTAATGACCCTATATTATATTGAATGGCAACATTTGAGAAACAAAGACAGTTAAAAAAAAGTTAAAGATATTTTCTTTCTCAGAATGAGAACAATATTTGCTATGTAAAGTGGATGATAAATGAATAATAACCTAATAAATGGTACAAATTTGTTTAATATTCTGGTAAAGATGTTTCTAATATCGAAAACATTGATATTACTGTTAAATTCTAACAGAATTATTTAGCAGGTACCATCATACTGAGACTTTTATTTGTATGAGACACAGATTCTAAGAATTTTATTTCAGAAGTTTGCTTTGTTTCGTAGAGATTTAATACTTCGCCATAAATTTTCTCCAGGGTTTCGGAAGATGATCAGACCATGCTATAAAAATAATTATTATTAATGTTATTATTATTTACGTCAGTTTGTTGCTTAACAGCCTTAACGCTAATGACATCCATTAGTAAAATTAATCTGAATTCAATTTTAGCAGCATTCATTATCAAAACTCATCTCGGTCTAGTAGGACTTTTTTAAAAACTGCTATTTGTTTATGGGGTTCTAAGAATGGTTGCTTCAAGCTATCGAAATATTCTCTTTATGGGAAAAGGCGCCTGAAAACAATATCGATATATTATTACGAAAAAAGCATATGTCTAGACATACTAATATGCTTTGTATTTTTTCAGATCGAAGATATGGAAAAATTTGATTTGAAAACATGGAGCAAAATCGTATTCTATATGTATTAAACACTCGTTTTCTTGAATAGAATTTTAGATGAAATGGAGACATTCCTTGTTGTCTCAAAAGGTAGAACTGACTCCGCTGAATATCTTATTTCTGAAGGTTATATTTATTAACAGAACCATTACAAGTACTGCAAGCATTAACTACAAACTTTGCTTGCTCGAGTGGGAATTAGAATTATTATCACTGTGCCATGCTGTTAATGATGAATGAAAAATAATACAGTAATATTGTTCAATATCTATTTTATCTAAAATCGCAATGAAAATACTCAGTACTATATAACGTGATGGGTATACCTGATAAAGATAGCAAAATTCATCCCTAAGTTTTGGATATCTGTGTGAAGGAATGTGAGCAATTATTCCCTTTGCCCTTGTGCTCTGTTTAGATGTAAGTATATGCAGGTCCATTTAGCAGATACAATATCCGTGGTTCGAATTCTGACGACGGCACAGTTGATTCTTGCTCCAGAAATTTCTAATATCCCTGCAATGCTGCCCCCACTACAAATTTAATTCTTATCATTTTTATATGATCGATTGGCCTTTTTTCTCTTCCCATTCGGCCTTTAAAGGGAGGAGAATTTAAGACTTATCCCAAACTCTTATGCTCGGTTTAAATGTTAAGCACGTTCTGCTAGCAAATCGAAGATACATGGTTTGAAACCCACGCACGGAGTATTTGTTTCTTCACATTTCTCACTCCAGAAATGTCTAATTTCGCTACAGCTGAGCTTGAGTTAAAAATGTGAAAGATAATAGCTTTTCACACGCAGATTTAGTCGACTAGTTTGTGAAATATAAGCTTCTCGATAGAATCAAAGATGACAATCGTAAATCCTCTCATAAAAGTACAGCACCTGATGATAATGCAGGCGGGAATCGTCACAAGCGAAGTAAATCTTCCCCATTAACACTTTCAAAATCCACTCATGAAGCTCTCAATGAAATATTTAAAAAGATAGGTAGTAGAGAACAAACCCAAGAATGTCTTGCTGAATTATGTGAATTTACCCAGAAACACCCTGAGAACGACATAGAAGGAACCATATTTACAAACATCTTCAGATCTCTTTCAGAATTATATTCGTGAAGGCATAAAGGAACTAAAAAAAAGTTCAATGAAATCTAATGAGAGCTCGTCATTATTTATGGCTAAGAAATTTGAGGAAATAGGGTGGAATTCTAACCTCTCTACTAATGATAGTGTATTTTCAAAAGAAAGAATCCAATCCCAGACATGGAAAGAAAAAATTCCACCACTGCCCCCTCCAACAATTGATACCACACCAATGGATTTAGTTGAATGGTTAAAGAATGTTGTAGCTCGGCTAGGCATGGATCTCGTACTCACCCGCAGTCGCTTTTTAATATCAAGAACTATTGTATTTTCTTCGCGTTTCATTTTCTGCGCATTTTCTGCGCGTTTGCATTTTCTATCGTTATGTAAATGATCACCACATACAGTTAACTAGTGGAAGATCTATGGTTCGAATACTGGCTGCAGCACAAATTATGTTTCTTTTCCTACTTCGAAGAACCTAACAGTTTGTACGTAATTCAACTTGTTTTTCCTACAAATTAGTCTTTAGTTGTAGTACTTACCCATGCAGGATCTCCTGTCCAGAGCTAGGTGGTATCCGTGCTTGCAAGCGCAGCGTGGACCAGTTGATGTTGAGAGACATAAGTGCTGGCATGGAAAGCCATCTTCCCGACATGGAGAACCGGTTTCTAGAATAGAAATGAATATTTACATATTAATTTATTAGTAAATTAAATTACATACCGAAACATCTTAGGAATTAGCCATGATTTGTCTTCACTTATCACACGTGTTTCTTCCCTTCAATGGACAATCTTTATGAAATCTTTGGAAAAACCTCGAAAGGCGTAAAGCGAAAATTCATTTTTTATTTAAAAATGCCTGGCTCTTAAACCATGAGTCACCTTGCTCCCATTATTTCTGTATTAAAGAATTAAAAGAATTAAACTCAGATAATCTGTTTAAATGTTCTCTACCCATGGGTTGGCTATAGTCAGAAATACAGCATACTGGAGAATTCCTGAGTTTAATATAAATCAGACAACATTAAGACAACCATGTCACGATGATACAGCTGTAGTATGAAAGTAACTGTAATAGTATGTCCCTTGTCTAGGAGCCTTACAACATGCTTTATGCAAAATGTTGAATCAGAAATCTCGATTTCAGTTAAGCAATCTACTGATGGAATGAAAGATCATTAAATTTGTAGAATACAGTTGTTCTTTTCTTTGACGAGATATCAGTATTTCCATTCGCCTCTGCTTCGCAAAGAGCCAATAACCATTTTAATGCCGCAGAGTTGGATAAGCAGTTCAAAAGACGTTAATACACAAAAACACCAAATGGTAGAGAAATGGGGCAATGAAAAATTTTAAGTTAGTCACAAAGCATAACCTTTGTTTGGGACTAACTTTTGAATAAGACTTCTATCGATCCCGGGAGCGATCAGATATATGTCTCGCTTCTTCAAATGCATAAACATCTTCGACAAACGTGGGTAAAGGACAACCATTTATGTGGAAATCAATTGATGAACAAGTGAAAATGAACGGAGCACCATTTGTTGATGAAAATCTAAATAAAGCGTGAAAAAAACCTAAAGCATCAAATTTTTTAAAACTTTAAGATTTATAGCCAACTGAAGAAGATTTATGGTTATTTTCCGCAGACTGCTGTTTTCTCATTCTATATAAAGCTCATAAATATATTTTATTCTATATGATTTATATTTTTACAAAATACGTAACGTCTGTTCCTACCGTCTATAAATATGAGCTTCAGAGTTTTTCTGTTCAAAAACACATTCAGATTAATTCACTTTCATTAACTTTATGACCGGAGTTTAACTCTTGGACTATGGGGCAAGAATAAAAATCTGACTTAGACACCGCATGACTTCCTCGCACGGCCTATTAAATTATGCACAGTTTTTGTTTCATTTCATTTAAACTTATTTTATTTCCTCGAATTTCATTGGGGATATATTTCTCATTGAAATAATGCAGTTCTCAATTCGCGACAAGGCAAAAATATATAAAAACTCAACACATCATTAAAAACTGAAAAATATAGAAAAACATAAAACACCAAATTTATTAAAGAATTGTTTAAAATTAAAATTAGAGTTTGTAGGCAAAAAGAAGCAATTCGGCCAGCAGGCAAAAAGGCAGATTTTTCGCTGCACAAAACTTAAAGTTTCCTTTTGGTCCCACTCAGCAAAAAGACTCTGAAGTTGGCAGAGAAACTAACTCAACTCACTATGTTGAGTTTCAAATGTAAACAAATGGCGAATTCATTAGGCTTAGTGGAACTTAAACAATATTTAAATTTTTGATAGTTCCACAGCTATTGCATGTAGATTACCTAAAGGCATAAAAACCTTAAATGGTACATAAGAACAACATAATTCAATCCCTTTTAAAGCAAAAAATACACAATATACCAACATATAAGAATAAAAAACAACAGAGCTAACCGAGCCGAGTAACAGATTGGGTATACGTATAAATACTTTTAATTTTGCCGATTGCAACAACAAAGGAAGGTGCACAACTACATGTTATAGCAGTCCCACGCACGAAAGCTCAGTGTTCTGAGGGTACTCGTTTTTGAGGGTGAAAAATGCTCACAGGAAAAATGCTCACAGTAGTGCTCACGGGTATAAATGCTCACATGAAAAAGTCCACACAGAAATATGCCTACATAGAAAAATGCTCACATGGAAAATTGCTCACTTAAAAATATGCTCACACGGAAAAAAGCTCACATAGATATATGCTCACCTGGAAATAAGCCCACTGATAAATAAAATACGTAGAAATATCCTTAGATTAATCAAACAATAATTAATCGATTTGAACATCGATTGAATGTTCAAACAATTGTTCAAAGAAAATTATTTACATTATATGATATATATATATATATATATATATATATATATATATATATATATATCATATATGATGTATATATATATGATATAATGATTCATATACATATACTAAAACATATATATTTCAAAAACTGTATAACCTTATGTGTAGATTCAGTTGGTATATAAGATTAATAAATGGGTCGTTTTTGAGTTAGGAAAGGAGAGAAGAAGAAAAAAATGAAACAGAATATATAATGAGAAATTATTATTATATAAAATTATTACAATTTTAATGGTTAAAAATATAAATAATAGTAAATATAAGTTACACATTTTATAATATAAACAATTAGAAGAATAAGCAAACGTAAATAATTATTTTATTAAAATTACGTAAAATACCTTATTATATATAAATCATAAATACATATTTAAAAAGTTATAAATAAATAAATGGATTACATGATTCACAATTACTAAATGTAAGTTTTCATTTTTTTTTTACTTCAGTACGCCATGTATATACAACAGCGAATAATAAACGTTGATAGGCTAAATCTTTTTTCATTTAATGAAAACCACAATGGGATGGCTACAATTAAATAATGAATTTAGTATCTTATAAAAGAAAACTGTGGTCTTCTAGTACTTTTTGGCTCCAAACTTAAATTAACTACATTCAAACGTCAATTTCTATAGATACGTATCCAAAGTATGCAAAAATTAACTAGTGGCAGTTACAGGAATTAAAATGAACAGGGGCAGCGGTATAAAAAATTATAGTACATGCAGAATTTTACTATAGTTTCATTCTTTTATATACCGTCCCTGAAAACGTTTATGGGAGCATTTGTCCAATATTTTTTTTAAATGATCAAATAACTTTCCTTTTAAAATTTAAGTATGTTTACTATGGTCAAATCGGTTAATTATTGACTGATTAATGTAAGGATATTTCTACGCATTTTATTTATCAGTGGGCTTATTTCCATGTGAGCATTATACATGTGAGCTTTTTTCTGCGTGAGTATATTTCTGTGTGGGCTTTCTTCCTGTGATCATTTTTCCACTGGGCTTTTTTCTGTGGGTTTTTTTCCCTAGAACGATTTTTGAGTTATGCGAGATACACAGATACACACGTACGTACGTACAGATGTCACGAAACAAATCTCTTCTGAATCTATTTTTTAATCCGTTTTGGGAAAACGAGACCTTTATTCTGACCGCAAAAACATCGTTTAGATGGATTCAAAAGCTATCAAAACGTATATTTTCGTTGAAAAATTATACCCGCAATTTTTCTCGATTACAATACTTCCTTTGCACACTATTTATTATTCTGTTCCAGAATTTGTTACCAGTGACCTTGATAATAACCAAGTGCATATGGTATTAGTAAGCTACATTACTTATTGATAAATTTGGTCCATAATACATTTTTATTGCATAAGCTTAGTTCTCATTCTGTCGACATACACGAAACAAGACCGCAACAGTATATCAACAGTATCTTACAAAATAGCTTCACTGTTACAGCACTTTAATCTGCAATTATCTGCGCGCCATTAAAGTTTCACAGATACTTAATTAACTCAGAAAATGCCATCCTTGTAGAAGAATGTTGAATTAATTTACGTTAATTCCTATGGAATTTCATCAACGATACGGTGATTAGAACCGAACTAGAAAATCTACACGCTTTCTTGAACAAGATATTCTCTTCGCATTCTAATTCTTTAAAACAGAATAATTATTTCCTTTAGCCCAATACGTTAAATTACCAATCAGCCTTAAAATAAAAGAAAAGAAAGAAAAATTTCCTCAAAAGCTCGCTCGTCTCAGTGTGTAAAGTTCTTTCAAATCCATTAAGGCAGACTGAGCCGTTGAAAGTCCGGACGGATGATAACAGGAGCTTAGAGGTAATTTGAGCGTGAAATTAAATGTCAAGCTCGACAATTCCATATCGGAATAGATAATGAAAACACAAAAGAGCTCCTGAAATAGCAAGAATTCGGAAGAAAATCGTTTTCCCATTACGGCCTGTTAAGGAATCTTTCAACAGGGAAAGAGATTCGAAATTCTTCGTTCCATGGAAATGGGATTAGAATGAAATGTTGATCATGCTCTGACGGGGATGAAAAGGTATTCAGAGAAGGGATTATACACCATTTTAGGCATCTCTCGACGACCCGAAGAAGAGGAGAATACCCTGGGAAGGCGAAATATTAGGAATTTGAATTTTGGTACCAGTCTGCACAAAAGAAACATTAAGTACTAAACAACAGCATTTAGATGACAGCTTGCTTCTTTAAGCTTAAGCTGTCAAAGCTTTTTATCAAAGCGGAAGAGTTAATTAATTCAGCAGTTTAATGGAGTGGCTGCTATATTTTCTCTTTTCTACCAGTAAGAGTAAGTATCATAAAAATAGTATTGATTCATGTTACTAAAAGAACTGACAAACATTGACTGAAAATCTATATAGTTACATTAATACTGCAAATTCTCATTGTATTATTAGACTATTTAGAATTTTTCCCGAAGACACTATTGGTTTACAAAAATGTAATGATGGACAGAATTATTACAGATTAATGTAAATAGCTTTATTGTTGTAGTTTCAAGTGGCCGGACACTTGGCAGCTTGATGCATTCGTCGAAAATGGCCAATATCCAACGGTCATTTAACCATATCATTACCATAAACATTACCCAAGATGAAGAAAAGGGGGCAAAAGTTGGACATCAGTACTTTCACAAATCAATGATATGCTATGTGTAATGTGGGTAAAATTAATTAAGGCGGATATT